TCCTTACCTTCCGCCGTGCCCTCAAGACATGGCTTTTTCAGCAAGCGGGCCTGACCTAGGGAGGATTTTATTTAGGGTGATTTTAAAAATAATTTTAAATAGAAACACAGCTTCTAATATTCGGTTTTTTAATCTGGTTTTACAGGGGTTTGTATTTTTTATGTTTTGTATTTGTACTGTTTTTAATATGCTGTGCACCTCCCTGAGTCCTGCGGGAGAAGGGCGGTATATAAATTAAATTATAATAATAATAATAATAACACTGGCAGAGCAAACTCTGTATGTAATTAGGGAGAAAACACCACACAAATAAAGGAGAATATTTGTAGCTCAAGGTTGAAATGAAGGGTCCCTGGTGCTCTCTGAGCTTGCTTGTTTTTCTTGCAGACGTTTCATTACCAAGCTAGGTTACATCATCAGTGCTAGAAAGGAGTGGGGAGGAGGAAGAGGAGGAGGACGACGACGACGACGATGACTGTGGGGTCCTTTGTGTTCTCTGAGCTTGCTTGTTTTCTTGCAGACGTTTCATTACCCAAACTAGGTAACATCATCAGTTTGCACTGCACCCCTTACTAGCACTGATGATGTTACCTAGTTAGGGTAATGAAACGTCTGCAAGAAAAATAAGCAAGCTCAGAGAGCACCAAGGACCCCTCAAATACCACACTCCCTACCATTGAAGATGTTACCTAGTCAGGAAACAAAATGTCGGCAAGCAAACAGCCAAGCTCAGAGGACACCAAGATCCATGGTTGTGGCTGTCATTCTGATTATTTTTGAGCCCACCCCCCGCTCTTGGTTCCATTGCAGAAACTAATAAACTATCAGCATCTAAGACAGTGATGGCAAACCTTTTAGAGACCGAGTGCCCAAAACTGGCCCCGCCCCCACCCTGCCCCGCCCCCACCCCACCCCACCCCCCCATCCCCTACGCCGCCTGCCCACAGGGCCACTCACCGCCTCCAGAGCCCGCCACAGATCGCCCAGGCAGCCCAGCAGCGCTATGGTGGTCACGCCTTCTGCCCGCGCCCTGCGGCATCAACTGTGCACGACGGGGTGTGAGGGCAGAGTCTTGTCTACGCTGCCTGGCTGCCATGTCCTTGGCTGCGCTGCTCCACGTGGGCCACGCTCAGGGGCGACTCTCTTTCAGGGGGGCTGCTGGAGAGGACGGGGTCACGGGGGGAGGCGAGGCTGGGGCAACAGCACGTGTGCCCACAGAGAGGGCTCCGAGTGCCACCTCTAGCACCCGTGCCACAGGTTCACCACCACTGATCTAAGATCAGCAAGAAAGTATAATCTGAGTTCTTGTGACGGATGCCCAATTACGTCGCCTTTTTGAGTAGGGTTAGTCTTTATTTCTACAGTTTTCCTTTAATTCCCCCCCAAAACTACATATCGTTTGGAACATGGTTACGACAAAGAAGCTGCAGGAAAGCCTGAAGATCTTTTTCCAGTTCCCAACTGAGTAAACTTTATTGAAAGATTAAGCAGAAAAGAATCAGAAACGGCCACTAGTTTTTCGAAATAATCGTAAGGGGTTAAAATGTAAGATTGCTTCCTATTGTGTTTATTAGACTGCAGTTTCATAAAGCAGGGGATTTTTTACAGGAAACCCCCGGCGCGCTGTATCAAAGCCAGGATAAAACTTCACAAGGGTTCTGAAGATTAAACAAACTTTTTTAAAACCACTGGGTTTCCTTATTGAAGGGAAACACCCAAGGACCAATACTTCGGTCTTTAGGCCTTGTTTCTGGAAAGGAAGTCATGTCCTTTGTTGGGATGGTGTGTGGGAATGATCTTGG